CTGTGCGAAGGAGGAAGATAAGTAAGCCTCCGCTTCGGGCCCGGCTGCGGTGGAGAGTGACTCGGCAGTGGCTATTCGGTACTCGGAGCACGTCAGGTAGAGTCAATATGTCAGGAGCGCTGCCATGGTCTAATCAAGACATCGCCCTGAACTTCCCTGCTTGAGGTGGGTCGAGTCAGCATAGCCTAAGGCACTGCCCGGGTTGCGGACAGGTATGCGCCACTATTGCATGTCAAGCAGTTATTCCCGGTGGGCTTTGGCAACTTAGCGAGGAAGCTTCTGCGAAAAAGGCTTCTACACTGGTCGTTCTCTGCGCCAGTCGTTGCTGCCCGCGGCGGATCAGGACCTTGCTCCGGGGTCCGAGAGTGACCGATTCGGGCGCGTGTCGGGCGCATATCGGGCGCTTCGATCCTATGTAGCTGCTCGTCCTGCTCAGAAGGTTCAGCATGTCGTTCTTAGGCTTCGCACACTATTTTGAACAGCGGTTTTCTCCATATACCAGCAAGCTAACAATTGATTTTCCTGGACAGTTCCCTGGTCTTCTCGATTCCGAACGCGGGCGCCGGTTGATGGACCTGCCGCAGATGCTGTTGGGCGACTATCCAAGTGTCGGTGAGCGTTGTGTTCACCGCTACGATCCATGGTGGCAGGAAGATCGCTCACGTAGCATCAGTGGCCTTCTCTTGGCCTTCGCAACCTCATCCCAGGGCAATGGCTCATACTGCTCTGAGGTGCGAGGTCGCAGCTCTTTAACAATGCAAGCATCCGAAACAGGCTTGGAGAGTAAAGATTTAGGTGGCCAGTAAACTTCGGCGAGGTCGAGCGCAGGAAGAGTGCAGAATTACCGTTCTGTATTTGGCAGGTCTAATCTTCATCAAAGCCGGTCAGATCTTGAAATGCCACGCACTGTTGTTCGACAGATATGCGCTCGGAATGGGTCTTCCATCTCAGTTGCGTCTCATCCTCAAACCCACATCGCCATCACCAGAAGTACGGGTGGCGGCGAGTGCAGAGGCTCTGCGGTCTGTTCCCATTTGAAGACTGGAAGATAGGTAGTGCGCTCGTCGAGTTGCAGAGGTTACGACGTGATTGACGCGGTATAATACCGTAGTGCCGTTGCTCGGCATGCCACCGCGGTGTCCGTTCGCAGATGAAACCGATAGCTGTACGCTCTCCCTGGCGCAGTCACCTTTGGGGGTTGAGTATAAATACCCCCAGGCATGGCCCTGAAATCCTCAGGCAGGTTCCTCTTCTTTGCACTGGTTGGTCAGCACCTTCCCCAGCCTCCTCGACTCCGAAGGTTAACGGTGTACCGACAGCTCCCCGTACCCTTCAGGACTTTACACGAAACGCACTCTTTACGCCTCACGATCTTCCAACAACCTCAACATGCGCCCCACATCATTCATATTTATCCTTGCTGCTGCTTCTGCCCCCGCATATGGTGCTCCCCTCAACCTGAGGAACACTTTTTGCGATCGCTACCCGACCACCTGCACCACCGATATTGTGGCTCGTCAGGATGACAGCGAGGCTCTCTCTCTTAGCACGCTGTGGAATGGTGCTAAGGATGTCTTCAAGGTCGGCAAGGCAATCTTCGATGGAAAGTTCGGATACTGTCTGCCGAGTCCATGCGAACTTTACTTACACCCGCGCTATATCTCGACAGTAGCAACAACCACCACCACCACCACCACCACCACCACCACCAGCAGCGCGACTTCGTTGACTTCGATACTCTCGTGGCCCGTGCTGATGAGGAGAGTGGAGCCATAAACTGGGTTCCTATTGCCTCAGCGGGTACGAAGGTATTGCCCTGGGTCACTGATCGCCTCCAGGAATATGTTGATGATAAGTAAGTCTGGCTATATATATATATGCTGGTTGTGGTGCCCATCCGCTCAATTACAGCCAAAATCAGCCTCCAACGAATCAGCAACAGAAGCAGCGCCGCAAGTTCATCGAGATGCTCGCCCGCGCCGCTGCTGACGACGGGACCAGCGCGCTCGGCCTGAATGC